TGTATTTACATGGTTTCTAATTAGAGGTAGCTTTTGCAGTTAATGCTGCCACATAGGATAAGTATGACTACTCCTTTTTCCTCTTACATCAGCTCATGAAGGGCTGGGGAGGGAAGAAGAGATTCATGGGGCTGCTGCAACCATTTGTTCAGCCAGCTGGGAGGACTCAGCAAGGGCCATGACCTGACCTGCACTGAATATCTTCACCAGCTGGAGGGAAACATGCTGCTTCATGGATAAGCAAAGAACAAGGAACTTCCCTCTTGGACAGAAAGGGAACATAGGAAGGTTGGGCAATAAATTGCAATTCAGTCATACTCTTTTTTACGTCTTTTTTAACACTCTGCTTCTAAAGCAGAAAAACAAAATCCTAATTTCTGCTAAGGATTAGGTGAAAAAGCTGAGGAAATTACCAACATAGAAACAATTTAGCTTATAAAATATTTAATTTGGAAAAACATGAAATGAGAAAACATCGCAAAAATCTTCTTTCTTAACATACAATTTCCAGTGAAAGGGAGGGATATTTCTATCAGACAATCTGGTGAATTTTAACTAATTTTCTGTTCCAAAACATAAAATCATGAAATCATTTGAGTTGTAAGAGACCTCTAAGATCATTGAGTCTAGTCATTGACCTAACACTGCCAAGTTCACCACTAAACCATGTCCCTAAATGACATATCTATATATCTTTTAAATACCTCCAAGGATGGTGACTCAACCTCTTCCCTGGGCAACCTGTTCCAATACTTGACCACCCTTCTGGTGAAGAAACTTTTCCTACTATCCAATCTAAACCTCTCCGGGAGCAACTTGAGGCCATTTCCTCTTGTCCTATTGCTTGTTACCTGGGAGAAGAACCAACATCTACCTCACTACTACCTCCTTTCAGAAAGTAGAAAGCAATAAGATCTACCCTGAGCCTCCTTTTCTCCAGGCTAAGCAAGCCCAGTTTCCTGAGACTTGTAGTTTAGGCATGAAAAAATTCAAGTGCTGATAGTTTTGTTATAATCTTGTAGGTCCTCCCCTATTCTAAAGATTCTGAAAAAAAAAAAAATTAGGAGTACAGAAATTGAGTTTTGAACAATGATAAACTGATGAATGTGGAAAGTATCGCTTCAGCAGTCTTCTAACTTTCTTTCCTGTAATAAGGAAAAATAGAAACTGTTCCAAATATTCCTCATATTAATCCTCATGATATGCAGAGTGTTGGCAGCAAAGTTTCTAGTTTAATCAAGCCAAACATTATTCATAAAATGAAAGAAATACTAAAATGATAAGTTGCCTTTCTAGGTTGTTTCCTATGATGTGTATCGCATGGACTAACTGCCAAGCTAGATCTCTGAGTATGATCAGGATTAGAAGAGAATGCTTTCAGGTGAAGAACAGTGCAGTCTACTTCATCAGCTCAGACTGAGGAATTGTTTAGATGCTTTCTTTTCTTACAGTCACAGGAATACAGGGATTCATAGTATAAACACACACAAAGAAGACTATTTGCATAAATTTTGTAGAAATGTGGGGAAAGTAAGGAGTCGCTACTTGAATTACCATTAGTAGTTGTTTTCTTTAAGCTAATGAACATATCTTACTACATAACTTACTGGAACTACCTCTCCCTCCCACTGTGACCTGGATTTCTTTCTATCAACAACTACAGCAGTAATTTACAGGTCAGATATTAATATTGGAATAACTTTAGTATTGTTTCTAACTTCTTTTAATGTTACTAAAAACCAGATGGATCTATGTATAAGATCCATTGAGCAATAAATCCAACATGATAACAGCTGGAATAGTAAAATCATAAGGATAATAATTTATGGGAAGATTTCTACCATATGTTACAATTTATTTTGCCTATACTGCAGTTATGAAAAGAGAGGTCAGACTTGTCAAAATAACTGGAAATACCTTAAAATTTATCTGTCTTGTTAGATTTGCAACTGCTTCCAGTTGGAGGAGAAGGAAGATATTATGCAGTGATTTTTATGGTCTTTCCTTAGCAGACAGTGCAACCTCTCTTTTTTCTCAATATGGGAAACAAGTATTCATCTTCTCATTCAAAACGGAGTATTTCCAGTTTATTATAATAACTGATGGCTTTATTATCTGTAAATAAACATGATTTATCCACCTGTCAAAAATGTTGAAAGGAAGGAAATTTACAAAGCTCAGTTTATCAGATAGGGATGTACTTTAGACAGCCATCTATCCTCAGATGGTTTTTGCGCAGTCTGCCATTTTAACTTTATTTTACCCAGACGTTCATCAAACATCTATTTTAATCACTCAGCTAAATTCAGCATTTTTTTTCTGTAGCATTCCAGTCATCATGACATTTCAGACATCTCTATCTCAGATGATCCCAGTACTCCCAGTGTTTTGCCGGGTACACATGCATGACAGAGATGAAGATTATATTCGCAGAATGCTTTCTCACAGAATTTCTCTCCCTTGCCTCTAAAGCACGTTACTGACATTTACGTAAGTATTAGAAAATTGGTTTATGTCTTAGGAGTCCATTTTTCTTTCAGTTTAATGACACATTTGAATAATTTAACTATTTGTAGTGGGTTCCTTTCGTAAAGCAGCTGCTGCCAAAACAGGCATGAACATAAATGGACAAAGTCATGAATTAGACAAAAATAAAAATCACACAGGACTTAAAATCAATGTCCTTACTTTCTCTGCAGAACATCTGTAAAGATGAAAATCTAAAAATGACATGTTTAATAACACAGAGGGTTTATATTCTACTGCTTGAGATTTAAGACAAATCATTAAACATGGAGATCCATAAAAGCCACCAAGCTTGAGTTACACAAGGTTATTTTGGATTGGCATTTTTACCTTTTTTTAATTATCCATATATATATATATATGATTCTTAATTTCTTAAATATGATACACTAGTTTTCTCAATTTTATATTAGTTTTAAACTTACATGTAAACTATAATAATATGAATGAATAGGAGCAGCATCTCTTATAAAGGACTGTTAAAAATGCTACAAATGTCAAGACTATAAATCAACATATTCCCACTGCATATTGTCAAGTTACCTTAACTTTTACTATGTTTTGTCTTATGGATATGACACAGCATGCAAATTCAGGCATTTAACTCAGCTGTATTCACAAGCTAAAGACCCAAGGATCCTCATAAGCACAGTGGAAACACAGGAGTTACCCATTCTGTGCTTCACAGCAAGAACATATCAAGATTCCTAGTCTGTCTGCAGATAAGTCGTTATGCTTATTTAAATGACCTTCATCATACATATTTGAAGTTTGATGGACATTAGCACTCAATTTATGGATTTGTGCTGAGTCGACAGGTTTATACCCCTCTAGATTCTATCCAGAATCTCTTAGCAAATTTATACTTTTGGAAATTGATCTCAAGGACACTAAATGTAAAGTTAACTTTTCCAGGATGATCTCTGAATCTTGGCTCTAGATACCTGTTTTCAGCATTAATGGTCATATTTTTTTTATCAGTGGAAATACAGTGAACAGTGAAATAAAAAATAAAAAAAAACTTCTCAGTAGGTTTGCTATTTCGTATGTGTTCACCGAATAGTTAATTAAGTACAACCTCTCTTTCAAAAAGTGCTTAATGACTTCTGCTATTGTTGTAAGTATTGCTGATGTTTAGGAAAACTGGAGTTCCTCAAAACATTTTGAAAATTTTAACTACTTATTATTCAAACAGAAGCGTGTCTAAGGTTAGTAACTGGAAGTACAAGTAGTTGGTAATTAATGTCATATTAAATTTTATTACTGTCAACATTTCACAAAAGGAAACATTGCTTTAAAACAGTACTTTAAGATCCCCAGCTTTTATTGTTCTGTTCTCTCTGAGTAAACTCAAGCCATAAAAAAAAAATAATTTCAGGATTCTTAAATAACTGCAATGTGAATAAGCACTCTGATGGATTGAAAGAAATTCACTGGCTCAAAACAACTCTGCCTGTGTGTGGGGGGGTTAGATTGAGTTCTGCCAAGGTGGAATGGTGCTGTCCCTCCCTCCTGGCTTCTTGAGGATCACTGGTGCAGCCAGGAGCTCTACCCCACATCACACCCTCTGGAGCCCCTAACCCCACCCTGGAGTGGCTGGCACACCGGGAACCCCACCTGGGGAGGGTGACCACAGGGGGCCAGAGCAAATAAAACCAACACCATGAAGCGTCCACATTTTCACGGCCCTACTGTCTCGTGTAACACTCCAGCCCCGGAGCTGCTTGCTCATGGGCTCAGCCAGGAGTCTTACTTAAAAATATATACAGAGGGTTCTTTAATACTTTGAGATAGTGTCAAGAGAATAAGCCTCAGACTTGTTCCCAAGAGGTACTTTTATTGATATTTTAGGGGAGAAAATGAGGGAACTTGGCAGAAGTTCCAAAGGGTGCCACACAGGCTAGACAAAATGTTCCACCACAATACTGACCCAGCACACACTAGTCCTCAACACATAAGTCAAAATCCAATTCCTCCACAACACTTAAATCAAAATCCAACCTCTCCAGCTCCAAGACACCCAAAGCATCAAGAAAGGAGCAAAGAAAGAGAAGCAGAGGGAGCAAGAAGAGAGAAGGAGAAAGAGGGAGAGACAGATTATATAGCTACCATTGGAAGCTTCTTGTGGAAGATCAGCTTTCACACTTCCAGATGGCAAGGTCACGACACGTGGCAAACATATGCCTTTGGTTCTATCTGCTCTGGTCCCTATGGCCAACTCCTCTAGGCAGGGCCTCTGACCCACCAGCCTCTCTGGGGTTCCAGGCCAGGGTGAGGGGCAGTGTCCTCACTGTCCTGCCAATCTGAGCTGGATTAGGGGGCTCCAGGTCGTGTGGTGTGTTGAAGTTTTCCTGGGTTATTTGTGACTGACAGATACTCCAGGGCTTCCTCATGTGAGTTCCAGGGGCTGCCATGAGGGATATGATGTCACCCCACCTCCGTGAGGTTCTACTCATCCCTTCCCCCTCCACACACACACACACACACACACACACACACATTCTCCCCACAAGGTGGTTCTGACCCAGTCGTTATTGATCTGGTATCTACCATCTGGACACGTGGAAGCTTGAATTGCACAGGACTCAAGGTAATCGCCATAATTCTCTCTTTTTCTCTTTCTCTCTTCCTGTACTTCTTCTTCTCCTGATCTCCTTTCTTGATATTTGGGTAACTTAGAGCTGAATGGGTTGAATTTTGCTAAATTGAGTGGGGTTAGTATGTGCTAAGTCAATGTTTTGTGAAACGCTTTATTTTAGTTGAATGTTGCCCTTTGAACTTTGGCCAAGTTATGTTATTTTATAAAGTTTACCATTAAAAGCATGTTATTTGACCTCCCAAGAAACGTGTGTAGCATCTTCTCCCATGCATTCTCTCAAGGTATAAAAAGAACTGAAGGCCCTTTTAATAAATCTATTGGGTAGATTTTTCGAGCCTTGTATATTTTTTACGTAAAACCCCTTCAAGGAGCTTGTAGCATGAGCCTGGGATCTTAAAGCACTAACAAAAGTGTGTTTAAGTTTTTCCTTTGTTTCATCTTTCAAAAAGATGATAATATCAAAATTCAAATAAAATGTAATAGAATATATTAGCTTGTTTTTAAGATGCTTCTTATAGTGTTATGCATTCATTGAGAAACTTGGAGTTTAATCAGACAGTATGCATTAAGATATTACATTTTGTCCTATTCAGAGAAGCAATTTAATTATATGGAATATGTAAACTATTATGATGATGTCTGTAAGACTATGTGGAAGCATGTTTTTATTTGCAGCAAAAGGTAGAAGCACTGTCAAAAGAATTATTTTAGTTACATAGCTACTTTATTAGCATTTTTTTCCCTCCTGAAAGTCATTATCTGAAGAAAAACAAATCACGTGCAAAAAAAAAAAGGGTAACTCGCAAGTGAAATTTAGTATTAGAAGCTGTGCGATTTAGCATCATTTATGTGTTCAGCCTTGGGTTTCATAAAAGAAATTCCAAAGAGGTGTTCATTAATCTTGTCTTTAGAAGTAAAATCCAAATCATCTTTTACTACAAGCCAAGGTGAACCAATGGTGTAAACCAAAACCACTGCAAAGCCACTGCATGGTTGCCAGCCAAGAAATATTTTTCATTTCAAGACTCAATTCTTCTGGCTCAGATACTTGCCACAGAACTGACTGAACCAAGCTGGTAAAAGCACCACACATTTATATAACAAAGCGTTTTTCTGACTTAAGCCTACACATACAAAATAGTCAGAAGTTAAAAACAATTTACCTAACCATGTTTTCCTATGTCAAATGGGAATATTTTACTTACTCTATCTGTGATAAGCCATTACTTTGGTACTTACTTCCCCTAACTTAATCCAAAGAGCCATGAAAATAGGCCTGATCCAATTCAGTAGGCCTGCTTACTCCAATTTTTAGTGATGAAAATATTTTTTTCTGTCACACAATTTCTGTACTTGGATTAGCAAGTGTTTTATCAAAGTATACAGAACTGTTTAATTCTGCAGGGAAGGGTGCCCTCTAAACCAGAGACATGTCAAATGTTTGCACAATTTAAGTGAACACATGTTGACTTTTCCAGTTAAATTAAAATATATGTTTGAAAACCTCGTAAAAAACACCTCCTAGAAGGAAAAACAAGAGTTTATGTAAAAGATTGATGAGTTTAATTTCTTATTTTTAAGATTTTCCCTATTTCAAATATTTGCAGTTTTGATGATTGATGCTAGTACTATTGCCCTTTCTTACCTAACTTGTCATTTTTGCCACTATCAGGTGGATAAAAACTCACAGTCGACATTTACCTCTGCCTTCCCATTAGAACTGAGAGAAGGACAGTTAAATGTCTGATGTGTTTTGTGCTGCTAACCATCCAAGTATGAATAATTTCATTTCCTATTAAATTATCATGAAAATGTTTTCTTTTTGTACTGGGAAAATAATTAGTGAATTATACTTTATATGACTTTACATATACTTCATTCACTATTCATTCCTCCTATTCTTTTTTCATTTTTTTTTTTTTAAGTTCTGTGTGTCAACCAGAAAGAAAAGTAATTCTTTTCATTCTGTCCCAGCATTTTTCTTCATTATTTTTGACAAATATAAGTTGATCTTCTTAGGCTTTTGAAATGCAACCATTTCTACCAGACCTGTAGATAATAACAAAGATTGATAGTGCTTTATGTAATAGGCCAGAGCTTCCCTGAAGGACAATAACAAATGTTCGAAGAAACAGTCATTTAAGAATATATTGAGGAAATGTCAACATTATTATGCCAGCCACACTACAATCACGTCGAGTTTCTTCTGTTAATATATAGGAAACATACCTTTTGAAACATACATTTTATTATCTTTGAATTCTGACAGTTTGTTTGCAATTATCATTCAAAATTACTAATTTGTAAGAGTGGAAATGTTGTAATGCTGCAGTTATTGAGAAATGAAAATAGAAAAAGAGTAATGTTTTGATATGTAAATATATAACTTACCTTCTCTGCTGACTGGGCCGTACCAAAAAAGATTGGAATAAAAGCTAACCAAATTATGCAGGTTGTGTACATAGTAAATCCGATGGGTTTTGCTTCATTGAAGGTCTCTGGAACCCCTCTTGTTTTAATAGCATAAACAGTGCATGTAACCATCAGGAGAATACTATATCCAAGGGAACAAATGAGAGAAAGATCTGAAATGTCACATTTGAGGACTCCCCTGGCATTTTCTGGGTCAAGTGTCCTCTGCTCTCCGTAGTCTACGATGGTATGAGGCGGATCGATACCAAACCAGATGAAGACTCCAATAAGCTGCACGGATATGAGGCTGAAAGTGATCACCAGCTGGGAAGCTGGACTAATAAATTTGGGAGCTGTTACAGATTTTTTGCCTTGTTCAAATATTCTGTGAATCCTGTTTGTTTTGGTAAGCAAGGCAGCATAGCTGAAACACATGCCAAGTCCTAAAAAGATCCTTCGAAATGAGCAGACCACTGTATCTGGAGCTGCAATCATTAAAAAAGTAATGGAGTAACAGAGAAAAATCCCAGTCAGGAGCACATAGCTGAGCTCCCGGCCAGAGGCCCTGACGATCGGTGTGTCATTGTACCGGACAAATGTCACAATCACAAAGGTGGTAGCAATTATACCAAGAATAGCTATGAAGACGGGCACGATGGCCCAAGGAGAATGCCACTCCAGTTTGATTATAGGGATAAGCTGGCAATCCGTACGGTTGGCATTTGGTCTCTTATTAATGGGGCACAGTTCACAGTTGAATTCATCCACCTGGTAATGGTACCCCTCACAGCGTTCACAGTGCCAGCAGCAGGGCACTCCCTTCACAGTTTTCTTTCTTTCCCCAGCTTTACAGGGCAGGCTGCAGACAGATGCTGGATGAGTACGTTCTCTGTTAGCCCACTGCATGTCTTCTACCTGTGGGTATAAAAAATTAATGAGACTTCTATTTTCCTTCATTTATAATATCCTAATCCTGGCCACAGGTTTGTCATAAATCACTTCATGCTGACAGCACAAATACAGTTTACCATAATAAGAAACCTGTTTCTTTCCGTTGCATTGACTTTATAAAAGTGTTAAATGATTGTGTCCAATAAATCCATGCCACAAGCTTGATGAGTGTCATTAGTTTCTATTTACCTCTTTACTGCTGACCAAATTGACATCTGTAAAGATATTTATTGACTCCAGGCTAGTTTAAAAGCAAAAAGCCCTGTACACAGTGCTTTAAAAGTTAATCACATGCAAATATAAATATCAGTAGTTCTCAAACATTTAATTACAAAATAAGGCTATGTGAGCTTCAGAGAAATTTCTGGTACGGTAAAGAAATGGATTAAAATCTCCTTGCATCAGCTGACAAAGAGTGCAAGAAAAAAAGATATGTGATGCCACCTCTTCCACAAATGTGGATACCTTTACTTTTCCACCTCTCAAGTCTTGAAATGCTCGAGTGTTTTGTGTATATTTCTAGAAGACTAAAATGAGTATATACTGCTTTCTGAATAATAATGGGAAAAAAGATATCATGACTACTACTTTAGTTCTCCTGATATAAAAAGTCCGAGGATCCTTTTGTAGCACAGAACAATGCACTCTTGTTTTATAAATCCCAGCTTTCTCCACAGCAGCACATGAACAAAATATACTTTTTTTCATCCACTTATCTGTTCTTCCTGCATGCTCTACAAACAAAATCTGAATATGAAACTCATGGATTCAAAGCATTTCCTACTTTAAATTCTCACTTTGTTTTATTCCAGCTGTCCTTAGCCTACCCTTAGTAAAAACATGTTATGCAGAGGTCAAACTGAGTGAACCAGAGCAATGCATGGAGTAAAGAGCCGGTTTTAGGCACCAGAATCACTTTGTGCTGCTCCCAGGTCCCACCTTTCATTGCTTTGTTAGATGGTGAGTTCTCAAGGACAAAGGGCTTTCCTTGTTCTTGCCTATTAAGTACTTAGCACTTTTGTTTCATTTGGAGTTTTATTTATAAGTGGAACAACAGTAACAAAACTTCAGTCAGGAATGTTTTTAGTTTCTTCTGGAGGAGGACAGAATGAGGACAGCTTATCAAAAAGGATAATTTTAGCCTTTAAAGTTTATTTTTCCAGAAATGTTTAACAGATTTGAGAGGAAATCACAATGTAGCATTGCCAGCAATTCTTGCCTTCCTCAGAGAGCCAGAGGATCAGTTACAGCACTGTGCAGGGTGAATGAAGCTGCAAAAAGCAGACAGGCTCTTTTTCTCTTCTGTGCATCACTATTATTCTCCACTCAAAGGGGCAAAAAAGGGACCACACAGTAACAAGGAGACAAGAAATGTTCCTACAACCAGTTCTGTAAACCCTCAGAGTTATCAAGGACTTCAGTGAGAGTGGATTGGTCCTGAAGCCACAGAAGTTAACAAGATTTTATATCAAGGACTGTGATGACTACACAAAATACATTGTCTGGTGACTATGGAAAAGGAAGCCATTTAAGCAATTAGTTTCCTAAAACCCACAAGAATAACCCAGTACTGCATGAAACAGTTTTCATAGAGCTCCAGCAGAGTATTTGACATGCTAAGAAAATGTCCACCTGTGTTACAATCTCCAGGTTTTAATCACTGAAATTCTCAAAGCCCCCATAACCCCTGCTGTTTCATCTACCAGATATGAGAGAAAACATGTTGTGATGAAATCAGTGTGATAGGAAAGACAGATTCTCCTTCACACTCCTGTTGCTAGGAGAATAAATACAAAGCTTGTGATTTAGTCACATACTAAAAAAAGGGGGCAACAGTAGGCATGTTCATTAATCCAGATCTCTGGATAAGTTTGGGATAACTCAGAAAAGAACAGTACTATGGATTTGCCAGATTATAACACACAATACAGAATCACCAGGAGAGCAGACAACACCTTATCCAGCATAAACTTAGAATGGCATGTACAGGCAATATCTCATCTGGCAGAAAGCCTGGCAGGATAAAGCTAAGGTGTCCAGTTTTTAAACACATTTGAAGTAGTAAAGTGAGTTTGTACCAGATCAGCATTTAATACCATGAGGCTACAGTGCTTCTTATCTGGCATTAAGCATCCTAAAGTCACATTTACTGTACTGTGAATCCATGGCTTATATAAGTTCAAAGAATTCCTTTTTGTCTCTAGAGTTCCTACCTTAATTAAAAAAAAAAAAAAAAAAAAAAAGAAGAGAGGGAGAGAGAAGAAAGAAAATCCTTTTATTTTACAGCTATTTATGATTTTGCATACTTCTGTCTTGACAGTATTTTAATTGACTAAAAATATGCTTAAAAGCTCTTCCTGGTTGGCAAAACTTTAGAGTACCTCAGGATATCCATCCCATTGGCAACAACTGCTAATAAATTCCTATTTCTGAAACTCACTAGTAAAGACTCATATTAGGTTTTTAATTCTGGTACATGTGACACATAAACTACAAAACATATAATTTCCAGCATGGAAATATAAAGTTATGAATGTTGGAAAATTCACTGGATAAAGAAACTTTTTTTCCTAATAATTTAATTATTAATATAAGCGCTATTAGCTGGTTACTGATAGAACAATGTAAACAAGAATGGACTCTTAAAGCATAAAAAATTCTAAATGTAGAGAATAACCAGAATGAATGGCTAGGACAGGTGGATTGTACAGGGAATAAAAGCTATCTGTACAATCTGTGTTGTCTGGATTACTTTTCTAAGCAAAACAACATATTTAGGGTGACCTATATTTCTCAAGAAGCTCTTAAGAAAAATGTTATGAGTTCTCGCTCATGAGCTTTTTATTTCATTTTATTTTTCAGAAGAAAGAGAAGATATATTCCCAGGAAACATTGGTCAGTGTTTGGAAATTGGAAATCCCTTTAAGATACCTGCATATCTGAGAAAATTCTGGTATTGTAGGATTTTAACTCTGGAAGTGGGTGGAAAGATGGGATTCTCACATTAACACAACTATCTGACAATTCGGTTTATAGCTACATTAGTAAGTAACGTGGCACAGCAAGAACCAACCAGCAGAGCAAAGGTGTTAACTGCGGGCTTGGCGTTAACATTGTTCTGTATTTGAAATTAGAGTCTGCAGAAGAAGGTTGTTTTGACCAAATTTTGATGTAGTTCAGTGAATTGAACACTGGCAACAATTAACAAAGAATAAATGTCCCTCTGGAAAGCATATCCTGTTTTCATTTCAGCCAACAGCAATCCAGTTCACAAGGCCCAAGACCCACACTACTATGAGCAAGTGTGCTAAGTGGGAATTATTAGTAGATTCATTTCAAAAGCAGACTCTTGTTTGAAACTAAAATGCTAATGTGTGTACACCCTCAGACTGCTATTTCAACAATACTTTAGTAGAGGCAGAGTATAGGGCAGAGGAAACTATACCTCAGAGTGTGGTGTGCTTTTATTACTCCCAAACAGGTCTGTCAGGGGCTTCTGTATATGCAATAGTTAATAACTGAAAAGTCATACTACTTTTGGTCATCTGGTGCACTCCCAGCTCTCCACAGACTGCAGCAGTCTTTGATTGTAATGTATTTGTGATCTATCATTTTGCATAATATAAAAGTAACGAGTAAATCCAGTACAGGACACAATTACAATGGTCTTAAAGTTCTACCAGTTTCTTCAGATACTGAATGTACATATCAAGGGTCCCAACTTCTAGAACCCACGCAGAAGATGCACTCATGTCATTCTTTTTCTCTCTTTATGTGCTAGTACTATTGATCTCAATTCTTCTCTGAGATTAACTTTAGACAATAAATGACAGTAGAAACTGTTAAGAAACAAGAAAGAGAAGGAGGATCGTTTGGGGACATAGAACCAGAGACACTGTATAATTTCCAGAACTACTGAAAACTTGTAATATCCACACTTTAAAGGGAGTTGCTGGATGCTCAGCCTCTTCAGAAAATCACAATTTTATATATAGACATAAACACTTAGTGGTGGAAATTTCAAAAGTGCGAAGGGGAACTTAATAGAGCTAATTAATTTAAATGAGAGTTAAGTGCCTTATCTGTTCAGGTGTTTTGGAAAATCCCACTGTGTTTCCATCTCCAGTTTTCATAATCTAAATACTTTGGAAAACCTGACCCAACGTGATCTAAAAGTTCAAAAACTAAATTCAGGGGAACTTAACTTTAGGCACGCATTTGCAAAGATTCTCATGGGAGAAAGAAGTTGACAAAGAGTGAAACAGGACCCAGGCCTAAAAGAGTTAACTGAGATATCTTGGCCTGCTAAGAAACCCCAATACCTGTTTTGCTGGAAGAACATTTTAGGACCACTGGTTAATATCATGTTCTGTTCTGCTCACTGGACCAAAGGCCTTATGATAGAAAAAATAGGAGTAGTACACACACAGTAATAAATTAGGTAACCTAGACGTTTGAGAAAGATCTAGAAGGCCCAGAGCCAGGATTTTGCAAGTTTGAAGAATTCAGGTCACCTAATTGAAGAGGTCAAATTAGGAAAGACATCCATGGCGACCACCAGAGGGATGAAGGCATGAGGAGAAGACCCCCCCAGTAGAAGACTGCGCATGTCTGGAAAGACTCCACCCAGAGACTAGCCTACTTATTAATATGTATGTTAAATGATGTAACCACGTATCTAAAGTCTATGAAATAGCTTGCTTTTGCACTTTCAAGTTGAGCAAGTTTGTCCAGAGCGAGCTGGCTTGCTCCCAACGTTGAATAAACAAATACCTTGCTGCTTAAAGATAAAAAAAGTCTCTGAGCAGTCTTTCGGACTGTGTTTTTCAGAATCAAGAGGCCAAAGCTAGACAGAAGAAAGACAGAAAAGAAGGGGCTTTTTGCCACCAAAAAAGAATTAAGAAGTTCTGCGTTTCTTCAGCTTTTAATGATTGGGTCTGCAAAACTCTTTATACTTCTCAGACCTGAGCAAGCCTCAGATTATTAAATAGCCTTGGGTAAACATGGTTTCTAGAAGACTTATTTTGTCACCCTAATTTTTGTGTGTCATCTAACTGCTGTTCACTACAGTATGATACATGACAAGGCAAAGTTCATTACTAAATGTATCTGGACTCATCTAAGTCAGCTGGACTGGGATAGCCTAGCTCTGTATCTATTATTCATAATAGTTTAAGCATTATTATTAATTTTGAGTAGTTTCTCTGAATTTAGAAAGTGTCTGATAGACTGATGTGCTATCATGAAGTACCTCACATTTCCCTAAGATCTGTTTCCATTTTCTGCTATTCCAATGCTTATCAGAGTGAAAACATCAGAAATAGTATGACAACATGTCTCTAGGACATGTATTAATTTTCTATGAAATGCATCATCAGACAAAAAGAGAGTAGCTTCATTGCTATTTCAACAGACATAAAAATCATCTCTACATGAGATATTTGCCTGATGGAGCTGCAATTTTCTTTAACGTGCAGGACTAAGATTCTCAGTTCACTAAAGCCTTCAAATACAGACGAAATGTTATTTCATATCAAAACGAAGTAAACACCTCTGTCCTTCATGAACATTACAAACACAATTCCCTCTAATATCTAATAATAACACTAAAAATTAATGATGTGAGAAGTGGCCTAAAACAATATGAGATTTACATGGCACAGTATGAGTAGCACATTCACATTTCTGGCACCTATGTTCTTCCAACAATCAAGCAATTATTTCGTTAAGCACTACCCTCAGCAACTGGAGGAGAGTGATCAAAAGTGCTATTAATAGGTCAAATATAATTTCTGAATTATGTGTCCAATTAATGTGTACAAAACCACCCTGTTTTCCATTCTTCATTACCATGGAAAAACTTACTTAATTCAGTAACTGATGAACAATACAAAGACAACTGGACAGTCTTCAGAGAGTTTATTTCAGAGGACATTGGGTGGGTAATATTTAAATGTTTCTGATTATGCTACATTATAACTTGCAGGAATTTTCATTTTTCAAATCTTATCTCAGAGCCAGATATTTATTAAAAATAATGAAAAATATGTGTTTAAGGATATTATTGTAACAGATGGAATTATATGAGTTCTGGACAGAGGAATGCAAGTGGTATTTGCAAGAGTTGTGAGGGCAGACAAGTATCCTATTTTGTAGTCAGCCAAGACTTTTGAAACATCAAGACTCTTACATATAAATTTGTATGAATTTTAATATATATTCAGATTCTTAGTTATAAAAATGACAAAGAGCTGAAATTTCACCTCTGGCTATCACTAGGAGTTTTTCTTATTTCTATCTCAAGTTCTTGGAAGTATTTACCTTCTGACAAAAATGTTCATCAAAGGAGCATAGCAAGTGAGTCAATTAAGGTAATTTCATCTAATATTTAGCTTTTTTAATTGTCTAGCATGTTTATTCTCACAGTAAAAGTTGAAGTTTTTAATGTACCTTGTCCAGTTAAGTCACCTGAACCATCAGAAAAAATTAAATTGAAACTGGTTCAACTAAAATGAATTCATTATGCATCTAAACATAATGATTATTGCATTTAGTCTGCCAGACAGATTTATCCCTCTAGTGAAAAGCTGGGTATACTTACCAGTGTTTAAGTGGGCATGTGTAGAAAAGAAATAAGTCAATGACAAAAAATATATTTTAAATTTAAAAAAAAAAAAATTTAAAAAAACAACCAAACAGAAAAACAAAACAAACAAACAAACAAACAAAAAAACAAACAAACAAAAAACAACAACAAAAACTTAGAATGACTCCAAATTGTCATGCCAGTATAAAATCACTGTCATTACCAAATTTGCCATAATTGCTGGAAACTATTTACATCATTCACCTGCTACAGATATTTTTCTAACAGCTGAGATGTCATTTTCTGGAATTTCAGGCATAGACATCCCAAGACTTTTGCAAAGAACATGGGATTATAACTTTAGTTTTAGCATGTACTGGTTAAAAATTACTGCAGTCTAATATCAGTTTGAAAAGGAGTCTGAGAAGCTTGATCAGGTGCAATGACTATTAAAGGATCTGTCTGAAATACTACAAGACAAATAATTCTCATTTTCTTTAGGATCAGAAGTACAGGTTGTTGATAGAACCCAAATGGAAGCTGGATTTCTCCTAACTGTGAATGCGCCTGCCCAAAGTTCCTCCTAGGCAAACCACTTATTATCTCTATCTCACAGCTTCCTTAAAGGAAAAACGGTTAAGTTTAATGTTATTTTCATTTTAATATCTATTTACATGTATGTATGCATAATTATTTATATGCAAGTATGATATAAAATGTCCTAGACTACAGGAAGGAAGGAAGGTGATATTATTAGCGGTGCAGCTTTGGTCTCTAAGCTTAGACTTAGCCTATGTAGCTCTGATACAGTCTGACTCTCTCAGTGAACTTAGGCAAGTTATTTGACCTGCTTGCATCTCAGCTTTTCGGTTGACTGGAAAGCTGTCATGCAGACAGGAGGAGTGAAGATGCTTAAGTTTAAATGTGACTATAAAGTTCAAGTAGAAATATAGTTGATGTCCATCGCTCAGGTCTAGAAGGTTTTTTGCCCAACAGGGACTTATATTTTAGAAAACTTCTAAAATAACTTTTACTTTTAAAGTTAAACAATATTTTTTCAAATAATTAATACCAGAAACATAATAATTCTGTGCTTCCTCAGCATGTCAAAATCTTTCCTGTCGTCTGCAGTTTCCAGAACTGCGATATCACCAATCTCTGGAATTATTTTTAATATTCCGGACATATTAACAAGTCATTTTCAGCTAGGGCAAAATAATTAAAGGGAAGGATGCTGTGAGGTAATACATAAAAATAAAAAGCAACAGTATAAAAAAATAAAAAGTTTCTTATTCTCATAAACAGAAAATGTTAAATACTAGCCTTACTTTATTAATGCAGGTATGTTATTTAGTGGGCTGATACCGATGCTGTAATTTTACTTCAAAGAAACCTACCCCACTAATTAAGTAATATAATTCATGACTACTGAATAGTTACATAGAGGAACACACTGTGGTAATCTAAACTAGAGAGTGTTTATCAGCACTATACAGACTTTAAACCCCAATCTTTATATGGTTGGGGATAAATTTTAGGTTTTATTTTTTTTTTACTTTTCTCTGGTGGTTTGGATTGTACTGATGGGTTACAGAAGTGCTGACCGTAGCAGACTCTTGATACAAGAATAGGAGGAGCTGCAATGTATTTTCTTCTTCAATATGCCAAACAGCAAACATTAATGCAAATGGAATACCTGGGAAACATCATTTTATTCTCATATGGCTTAGGGAGTAGGCTAGCACAAAGCACACAGTTACTGTTACTACACTGTGTAACTAATTCCACTGCATGGAATTTTACAGCCATCTACTAGACACTTCTATTCAATCTATACAACATTTTTTTGCTTTATGGAAAGCATGAATTACAATTAATTTTCAAGCACCTGTTTCTGGAGATAACCTCTCTATTTACAAATGAGACAAAAAGCCCCACAGTTAAATCAAAGAATCCAAATGAAGAAAAGTACGCCACCACAGAAATATCCTATTCAATATGACATCAGCAGAATTCAGATTTTTTGAAAGAGCTTTCAATGGTTTACTTTCTATATTTTGAAAACACATCATTACTACCAATGGATCAGACTACAAATCAGGTTTCTAAAGTTAATCTTTATGCAGACCACTTTCACGTAGACAATCTCTATGATGTATCCTTACCTAGAGGACTTCACTGACATTACATGTCCCTGACATGCACTTGGGGAGAATTTAATGAGCACTTATAAATAAAACTCGTCATGTACACACAGGGATTGAAGTCATTATATGCTACCAAAAGCAGACTGTACTATAACTTTGCCTATGTAATTAAATATGTTCAAAACGACTCAAATTAAAAACAAACAAAACACAAAGAAACTTGTCAGATTTAGATTTTTTAAAGAAATGGGTTTTTTAAGACAAAATCTTCCACCATCACCCCTTTTTGTCAGCTGATTAGTTTTGACAGTCTCTAGTACTAAGGCCATTTGAACCATAATGCTTGGAAGTACTTTTTATTTCCTGCAGCTGATGATGCAGAAATAGCCTGCAAGCATACCTTAAAAAATTTAGTACTTTGAGAAAAGAGAAGCAGCCTGGTTCTGGCAAAGAATTCTTTACATCACTTTCTTTGTGCCTGGAGAATCTCCTCAGTTCTGCCCAAGGCCCATTACTAGTTTAATAGCTTAGTTGCATTTCTTGATGATGCTCCCTCTCAAATCCACTTCTTTTAGCTACAGTTACCTAAGTTAGAGTTGGCTTTTCCAAGCCCAATGCTCAATAGCTACTATACTTCCCTCCAGTCTGTCAGATGCTTTTCAATCCCAATGGTGCTCAAATTCTCCCCTACTACACAGCTCAGAGTAAACAGAAGGAACACACGTGGTCAAGCACAGTTGCCATTTGACTTTAAAGAAATTTAAAACAGGTTTATTTTTTTTACTTTTAAGACTACGTCATTTAGTAAATCCCATTTTTTAATGAAAAAAAAAAATCCACCATGGCATGTTTTTAATTATTGTATTGGTTAGATGATAAGTTTATCAAGAAAAGAAGCTGTTGCCCCCAAAATCCTTCATAATGACCTGTAAAAAATGTACTGGGCTAGACCTTCAGCAGATTTAGGTCAGTCCAGTAACTTCAGTGCTGTTATGCTAACAAGTTCATGGCCCATACTTATATTTATTACTTCGTAAGGAGATGACTTGTCTTTCTTTTTGTTGTCTTTAATATTCAATTACTTTAAAACTAGAAATTAGTCAATCATAAAAAGCCCCAGTTCGGTGTGAAAAAAAGATGTTGATGGGTTTTAGTTTTAATCCTACCTCATTATTTTTCAATGGTTTAATTTTTTTCCTATATCTTGATCTGAGCAAAAGGCACTGTGTATATGAAACTCTGAAATGAATGCTTCTAAACTCCAAACTG